TACCAACTTATCTACTTGTCAGAGTTTGCACTACCTTTTTATTGTCAAACATAATATTTACCCATCAATTTTCGCATGATAATTGCATTTCATTTTCATTCTGTTTAATATTCAACAAGTTGAACAGATAATCCACCCTAACCTCGCTACTTGGTATCGGTATTGGTGAGTACCTAAACTGAAGTACTCGTATTTGTACTCAGTCTTGAAAAAACTGGTATCGGGACACCCCTAAAAATTACTTTATTGATGCTTCTTTGACGAAAAATCTACAACAAACAAAAGAAAAAGACAAAGAATCAGCCGAACTAGCAATCCTCAACAACTTTTTAATTTTTACACCAGGAGCCAAAGGTCTGTTTCATGAAATCACATCCCCAGCAATCAGCGGTTGTAGGATTAAGCTGTAAAGCAGGGGTGCTCAAACATTTTCCCTGAGAGGGCCAAAACTAAAAAACATTTTCCCTGAGAGGGCCAAAATTAAAATCAATCTGAAGGCCGTGGGCCAAATGCAATAATATAAGAAATGCTTAATACTTAAGTAAAGTTGTTTTATTTTTTATGATTAAGCTAGCAGCCAGTGTGGTTGCCCACATTCTTTAGTTATTTTTTTCAGCCCATGGACATGTAACGGAGAAAATTCAATGTATCCTCAGGCAGCAAAGGCTCATGGGACTTTTCATAATTTAAAATTTGAGTATATGTTATAAGGTGTGCAAAGCTATATATGGGCTTAAATCTAATCTAAATGTCTCTTGTAGTTACTTGTATTTTATATTTAATCTTAACATAATTACAATCTAATAACCAGGACGACTGCTGGTGGGCCAAATCAAATGGCTCGGCGGGCCAGTTTTGGCCCACGGGCCCCACTTTGGGCACCTCTGCTGTAAAGGATTCATACACCACTAGTTGGCAGTGTTGTACATATATTGTACATGAATTATTTCCAGCTAGTAAGTGTCAAATTGAACTTGCGCTGTAAGATTAGCTTCTGCTAGTTTTTCTTTGACATAAGAGCTTTTAAAGTTGTGGACCTAAATATTTATAAAAGCACTTCAGAAATTGCGGAGCTAATTTCTGGGTTTGCGCTGTCCACCACTGGAGTAGACATTGTTTTGCAGCCTGTCAGACACTGGACAAGGTTAAGTTTTGTATTTTAAACAGTTTGTTGCCGTGCAGCGCAGACAGAGACACAGTTATTTATGTGGAGCCTGCTTTTGTTGTTGTGGTGATGGTGCCCATCAACCCAGACCCCAGGAAACTTTGTTATTCCACTCAGAATGACCTCTGAACCAACTTGTGTGAATCTGCAGGGGGAATAAGATCGCGTCCTCTGAGAAGATGAGGATCGGGGGCACAGCAGAGATGGCCTGGATGCAGATCTGTGATCCCTCTGATAAGGAGAAAGGTCAATACGCCATCGAGATATCAGATGGTGTGACCACCCACACAAGGACGTTTGACCTCTCTGGACAAGGTAGTACCGTTTTATACATCTACAAGTGCATCGGTTTTACATTTCTTGATTTTACTTTTTTTTTTGTAAAAATTCTCATTTATTTTTGCATTTTCGCAGCATACACTGATGCATATGAAGAGTACTTAAGACTTAAGTAAGTTTTGATAGAATTAATCTGTACACATATATTTTTAATGTTTCTAAAACTGTTTAATTATACTGAATTTGTTTCGTCTTGTAGGGCAGCTGCATTTGCTGAGAAAAGTAAGTAGATCAACTGTTAGATGAATGTTTTTATGCTGAAAAGTGTTCGACGGTGATTAAAACTTGCCAATTGAAATGGATTAAAAAGCAGAGGCCTCCATTCATTTGGTCCCTGTAAGACCTCATTTTCTAACACATTATGTAATAAAATCAGGCTTCAAAATGTAATAAACTCACACTAAAAATGCATTATATAATGACTGAAACAAAATGTAATAAAAGTCTTCAACACATTATGTAATAACATTATTACATTTTGCGGCAATTATTACAAAATGTGGTGGAGTAATGATCTGGTGCATTATTAACAATCAAAAACCAGTATTTCTGTTCATCCTAATCAATATACTTGTAATAACTGTCATGTTACAAATACTACATAATTAAATCTTTATAACTTTGGTCAATAAACACAGAACTTCTCATGTTTTATTTACATTTTCAGATTTACTGTCCTGATCCGTTACAGAAATTATTCACCTTGTAGACAACTCCAAAAATATATATAAAAGTTAGTTACATGTTAACCCCTTCAGACATTTACCTGTATAATGAACAGGGACGTGCACAGGTAGACGTCAGGTGGTAATTGAGCACCTGCCCTTTTCCCTCCAGACCACCAACTGCCCCTGTCGAACCCATTTTTTTTGTTAAGCTCCATCTGTCGCCCTTGGTTGCACTTCTTATTAAGTGTACAATTATAATGACAACAGTATTAATATTATTAATAATAATATTGCCCTCACACCCTCCCTTCACCACGCCCACACGTGCGCGCCCGCAGCTCCTGTGCGCTGTCCCTCGGTGAAGGCGCTGCGCGCTCGGACAGGAGCTCTCTTCTCTCATCCACACAACAGAGGACAGTTATAAC